GTGTAAGATTATTTGTCTTGTTAGTCTGAAAATTTGACTCAAATCAAGTCAAAAATTTCTGCCAGTGGAGTAAGAACATTTTACTTGGTAAGATTCTTGAAATAAGAAAAAAAATGAGTCAAATCAAGTATTTCAAGATTTTCACTGGGTACATGACGGATTTGATTTGTGACAGGAAATGAAAGCACGGAGCACAGGAAACTATCTTCCCTTCAAAATAAGAGCTTGGATTTTAAAGTTTTCCATGTAGTTGCTCCAGTTGACCACTAGATGTCAGTCTTCATCAGCATAACATCTTTAAATCATTTCTGAGTCTCTAACCCCGTTGCTTCAACCAATTACGTCAAGTATTGAACTCCAGTGTTTAAACGTTTTTTTTTAAAAAAAGAGCTCTGATTGTAAAGTAAAATAAATCAATATTTACAAAATTTTAGTATGGATCACAAACGTTAACTGTTTTCGTCCGGTTACATAGCTAACCATTGCCTTCCTGCTACGTAAGCAGACACAAAGCATTGTGGGAAATCAGAACCGTGACTGAGAGCAACAGTCAGCAGGATGTATACCTTCACAATAAGTGTGTTTATCTGGGAGGGGTGTTGTTGGATAGATCACATGTTGTGATTCATTGACAGTCATACCTTCTGCTGTTCAACATAATGATGACTGGTAGATAATTAAGTTATTAGTGGTACTGCATTTTAATTTTAGAAAGCACAAATCTGCTTATGAATTATAAAAATTAGTAAGAACGTTAAAGCGCAAATGAAATATTTAGGTCCGCAATTAGCAGATTTGCGCTTTATCGGGCTGGTGCCCACCACTGGCATTAATTAATTAATAAGATGTGGAGTCGTTCACCTCGTCCTTATCTTCCACCTGGATGAAGAGCGGCAGGGCGAACCCGACCTGCGCCAGCTCCGTGATGAGGACTCGGTACTCTGAGCTGTTGAACTTCGGGGCGTTGTCGTTTATGTCGATTAGCAGGATGGTGAAGGTGGTCCTCACCGTTGCGTCGGCTGGAGTGCGATCGTCGTTCAGCTCTGTGGCCTTGCGGGGAACAAAACAAAAACAGGAGGCGGAGCTTCACTGGACTGGGCTGAAAATGTCAGCTGCACTCAGTCTTTAAAGATCTCTACAGCTGTTTACTTATCACCTCAGAAAGTGGACAGCTGACCTGAAAGCAATCATAGAAAGAGCCTCAAAGTGAGGTCGACGTGAACATCCACACATTTATATTCAATCAAACCCAGGAGACGGGAGTCCCATTGAGAAAACACAATTACACATTCCCCTTGATTCTGGCTGCCTTAGTGCTGAAAATGTGAAGAGGAGGAGGATAAGGTGGGTTCAGTGTGGACAAGAGCTGTCTTTTATTTAGAAAAGAAGGTCAAAATAAATAGCAGAGGAGTCAGGAATAGCATGCTAGTCTCTGGGTAATCAAAGTACTTTAGTCTTTTTTCATTCCAACACTCCTGAATCATTTGACCTCCACCTCCACCTGTTCGGCTCMGTCTAAGCTGCCTGAAGTTGAGAAATTAGTTGTATTACTACGGCACACTGTGATCAATACCTGCAGCACCTGAGAAAGCAGGAGCAAAGAGAAGGAGGGAACATTTATAAAGGAGGAGGGGGGAATCCATATTTTATAAATATGTTTTTGGACTACATTTTCTCTCTTTCTGAATGTTTGCTTCTGCTGCTTTCCTTGTTTGTGGTTATTGATTTTAATTAAAAAGGCCGGTATTAGCCAGAATCTTCTCTTGATTCAAACTAYCTCAATCATTTTTATATAAACTCTAATTATTATAAAAATAATCACAGTTAAYACTACATTTGGGAGTTCATTAGGTGCTGCTGTCAGATATCTTTAAGAACATGGTGTAAGAGCTAAACTTGGTATTATCACATGTGGAGTCCCTCAGGGCTCTGTACTGGGACTTAAGCTATTCATTTTATATTTGAATGACTTAGTAAATGTGTCAGGACTATTCAAATGTGTTTTATTTGCTGACGATACAACATTTTTTTTCGTTTAGGTAAAGATATAGAAAAAATGTTTGAGATGGTACAGAAAGAATTTGAGAAAATACAAAATTGGTTTCAACAAAACAAATTGTCATTAAAC